ACTCCTAGTTATATTCATGTGCGTTTAAAAACAAAATAAAATAAAATAATTTTTATCTAACTTAATGAAATAATCTTGGTGTTATTAGAATCGCCACGTAGTAGCAGCTGAGAACCCAGTACGCTTTATAAACTCATGGGTGCCGTAAAAAGCGACAGAGGACAAAAAACAGGCAATACACAACAGCATCTTCCTGATAAATGAAAATGATAAAATACTGTAATTATTTTATTTTATTGAGGAATGCAGATCCGATATATAGTTTTGTTCGATTTATTAAGACATACAAACAACAGAACAAAGGTATTTATAAAAGTCACATAATGTAGTAGTTTAAATGTTAATTAAACACCTTATAACATTGATGAAATAAAGTAGCTCAGGTGAGAAATGATGTGCACAATTTCGAATTTTTAAAAACGTGTAATTCGGTTGACGCTCTACAATAAAGTTAATCTTAATACTAAACCTAAATCATATGGAAGGTAAAAAAATATATAATACACTACGATTTGTCATTTGTTGTAGCACAGTCGGAGGCGCTCCGCAACAATCATAACTGTACAATAGGTAACGAGTTAAAGAGAAAAGAGATACCTACTGTCACATAAAACTGCAGTTTGCGATCATATCCTAGATGAAAAAAATGAAAAATGAAAAAAATGAAAAAAATGTTTATTTACAGCTAAGGTGGTACAGATCACAATATACAATATAAGACAATAAAATGCAAGCACAGTAGTCTTAATTCTCTAATATACAATTATTATAAACTATGATCTTATCACACCAACTAAGCTGGAGTGTATAAACAAGGGTGTATAGTTCTGTGGTCCTCACACTAGGCATGCCTGTGTCGTGAGGGCCTGATACGATTTTCTTATCACACGTGGCTTTCATTAATTGACACTGGGTCGACGTACGGTTATTACATTATGTAAGCTTTTTTGTTTTTAAAATAAAATAAAATATAAAATGAAATAAATATTTATATTAAGTTAATATGTATAAAAACAAGTAATTACAGGTAAAATAATATTGTTAGTAAAGAAAATACTGTTATTCACAAATATTACAATAATTAATAAAACATATATGCATTAGAACTCCTATAGATACATATGCATATTACATACTGTATTCATATATTTTATTTACGTAAATATATGATAAAGATTACGGTTTAATTAGGTTTTCTGTACCATCGTAGCTCAGAGTTAGTAACCATTTTGTTATGGTTCTTTTAGCTTCCACCACTGATTTTTCTTTTATATCGCAATACTTGAGGACGGAGTTGTACACTTGAGTTCTCACGAATTGCCCAAAACGTTTAGAAAAAGCAGAGTTGATAGCGGGAGTTGGCAAGCGGAATACTCTTCGTTTCAACAATGTCTTATACTCTGGAGATGCCAGTGTACACTTATGAACAGTTAGGGAGGTCTTCAATATGAAAAGTTGTCTTACATTTAATAGTCCACTGTCCTTATATAAATCAAAAGTTGAATATCTATACGGCTTTTTTAACATTACTTTTATAACCGAACGTTGCGCTCTCTCAACTCTGATCAGGAAAGTTTTTGCTGCACTTCCCCAGCAAGTAATACAGTAAGTTATAAGCGACTGGCATAACGCAAAATACACAGATCTTAGAGTATTTAAGCCCGTTATGTCCCGCAGATGCTTTACAACACCAATAACCTTCCTGACTCGAGCCGAGAGAGCTATTATGTGATTTTCAAATGTCAGTTTATCATCAACGAGGACACCGAGATATTTAATTACATCGGATCTACTCAAGGTCTCACAGGCACACGATTTGCTTGTGCAAGAAGGCTCATGAATCTTTACCACTGTTTGTTGTACTGGCGCAGTGACTGCTGTCTTATGAAAGCATAAGTACACAGTCTTCTTGGTATTTAGGGTCAAGAGATTATTTTGTAGCCAAATAAAGACCTGTTTTAGACCTCTTTCAGCACTGTACAAAGCATCGTTCCACGTTGAGCCATGGAATACGATAGCAGTATCATCGGCGTAACATTTCGTTTCGGCGTTTTCCATGGGTAGGTCATGTATATCATTGATATAGACTGTGAATAACGTAGGACCAAGTATGCTGCCCTGCGGTACACCAAAAGGTACATTTTGTGGCAGACTCACAGCCCGACCAATCCTCACACACTGTTTCCGGTCCGTGAGATAGCTCTGAAACCAATCACCGGCAATACCTCTAACACCCATATAGTTTAATTTTTTTAAAAGTATTGGAATTGACACTGTGTCGAAGGCCTTGGCTAAGTCTAAGAAAACGCCAACACAGCTCTGTTTAGAGTCAAGTATTGATGATATCGTAGATGTTAAAAGGGATACAGCATCTTCAGTACATCGACCTTTTCTAAAACCGAATTGTCCTGGCGAGATCAACTGTCGAGATTCCAAATATCCGGTTAACCTTTTGTTTACAAGCTTCTCAAGTAGCTTTGAAAAAGCGCCTAATAGCGAGATAGGCCTATAATTTTCTATAGCTGTCTTTGAGCCACATCCCTTATAAATAGGACAAACAGATGCAAGTTTCCAATCATATGGAAAAACTCCGCTTTCTAGGCTTAGGTTGTAGATATAGGTGAGTGCCTGGATGATCGAATCTTTTATATGTTTTATTAAAGAGTTAGCTAAGCCATCCATACCAGGAGCCCTGTCATTCTGTAATCCCATAATCATAGCACTAACTTCTTTGGGATCAGTGGGAGTCATGAAAAATGATTCTGTGAGGTTACAATTGATTCGTATTTTACTGGCAAGATTTGTCTCAGTTTTATTAATTTTATTAAGTGTTTGATTCGCTTGGTTTACTCCTACCGTTGAAAAATAGTTATTACATAAGTCAAGTGGGGAACGTGTTATATCAGAGCATTTCATGTCTAATAATTCTGTGGAATCATTTTTACTGTTGGAAAAATTACAAAAATATTTAATTGACTTCCAGAGTTTTCGTGGGTTATTCTTATTTTCGATTAGTTTATTGCTTTCAAAATCTAATTTACACTTACGCAAGAGATCAATGAAAAAGTTCCGATATCTAGTATAGGTGACCTTAAGCGGAACGTTATCTGGTTCAAGCTTTGTGCGTTGGTGAAGTCGGTCCTTATGTTTCATGCATCTGATGAGCCCCGGTGTGATCCAGGGTTTTAAATTATATTCTCTTCTGGTTAGTCTCACTTCATGCGTATGCTTATTTAATGTATTCATTAATATATTTGTGAAAATGCTTGTCGCTTCATTCACCTCTTTTTTGTCGGTAATTACAGCCCAGTCAAAAGTTGAGAGGTCTTTTTTTAATTCCTTCAAAATCTCTTTTGAGAACTGTTCGGCTCGGCCGCAGGGGTTTGATTTTATATAAATTCAGACCCAACATAACCTGATAGTGATCTGTTATATCAGACTGACAGACAATGCCGACTGGTTTCCGGCTTAGTTCAGAATCTGAAAGATAGATATGGTCGAGACATGATTTTCCTCTGGTAGGCTCTGTAATAGCCGGTAGTAGACCATATTCCGCCATAACACATTGATATTCCAAAACCTGAGTGTTTGTAGTATCCGATAAATTGACATTCATATCGCCAGTAATTACAAGGGGGGAATCTGTTAGCTGCGGAATTTATATAGGAATCAAGTGATGCCAGAAAATCTCCTATATTTCTACAGGACGGAGAGCGATAGATAGCTAGTATAGAAATCATGTCTAGAATTTGTACCGCTAAACAACTAGAATTGTTAATGCATGGTTCGGAAACCGTTGCTCGCCATATGTCCCTAACGTAAATTACAACACCACTGTTTTGGTTTGAGTTATTTTCAGATTTATAGACGTTATATCCTTGCAGCTGGTGAATATTTATCATATCATTTAGCCAACACTCTGTTAAGATTATAACATCATAAACAATACCTGTTCGTCGCATCGCTACCAAGAAATTATCAAAATTCTTTTGAATACTCCTAATATTTAAATTTATTAATTTAAAGTTATGTTCTTGAGAAAATTTGGCTTTACACAGCTCTAGTTCACTAACATTATAGCAATTAATCTTTATCGAGTCTAATTCAGATTCAAAATTATCATCTATCTCTTTTAGTTCGATAAGTTATCCAAAAACAAGGTATACCATACATATGTTAATTCAATGGCACATTTAAATTTTGCTTCACTATTTTCCCAAAGCAGTGATAAGGTGTTTGAAAGTACTGATGAGTGATCTTTGAATTCTATTCCAAATATTGTTGTAATATAGGAGTGTAGAATTATTAAAGCATTTATACGCAGTATACAAATAGTATAATATAATATGATTATTATTAAGAAGTGTATTAAATAAATAGTTATAATAAATGTATGCATATATATGTGAACATGTAAATCAATATGTATGATACTGGAGATATGATTCATAAATTTTTTCGTGATAATGTGATTATACAGTATTAAAGTACAAAAGCTTACCCAAGATTTCAATGCCGTTAAACATGTACAACTTGGTATCTTTTCAATCATTACAGTAAGGCAGTTGAGTGCAATTGAATAAGGTCCTTTAAAAAAGATATCAGAAACAGAATAATTCAAAAAGACTGACATATATTTTGCACCACTCAAGAAAAATAGAGATACGATGTGTTTATAATAGTTTTTAGATATCCTCTTTAGTTGGCAGATGACGGTCCAGATCGTGTTTAGTTCTAATAAGTGTCGCAGCTTTCCCTTCTCGTTTCCTAATATATATTGCACCCTGGTTGCACCAGCAGAAAGCGTAATCATGGGTTTTGGCTCTCGCTCTGGCTTCGCGAAACAAAAGTCTATTTTCTTTCGTAAGTCTTTCATTACAAAAAACTTTAATCGGCGAGCCAATTATTCCCAGGTCTGCGCTGGTGAGGGTCTTTCTTGATTTGAAGGCTTTTAGTACCTGGTCGCGCTTGGATCGCCGGAGCAAACGCACTACGATGGGTCAGGGCATTCTACTGCCACCATCCGGAACATTAGGTGGTACAGCCAGGCGCCGAGGTCCAACGCGGGTAATCCAGTCCACGTCAACGTCTTCCAACTGTGCTCCAACTTTTTGAGCGGCCACCTTAACAATATGTTCTAGATTTTCATTATTACCTTCTGGTATACCGACGATCTCTATCTCGTTGCGGAGCCACTGTTGTGCTTGTATATTGAGCTCATTCTGTAGATGGGCCACAGATGCGTGCAAGTTTATAATTTCCTGATCGCGTTTTTCTAGTTTTGTCAAGCGATTTTCATTGGCTGACATGCCCCGCACTAACTCGTCCATCCTTTCATGACAATGGCATAGAGAGTGCGTCACTTCATCCAACTTTGTTTTTAGTGTCGAAAATTCACTAGTTAAGCGAGCGATTACCGCTGTTAATTCTCTTATTTCTGTCTCAGGAGTCTGACAGTCAGAGACATCCTTTTTGCGCATCGTAACGTTTTGCGAATCCGGGTTGGAGCGTATTGGCGTTTGGGTGTTATCGCCGCCTTTTTTCTTGGAAGCACTACACTCGGGGCACTTCCAGCACTTTTTACCCTCCACTGTAACTGATGTTAAATTAATACAGTACGAGCAATATGTTTTTTCGCATTTTGGCGATGTACATGTAATGACACTTGCATTCTTAGTAACTTTCAGACAACCTGCGCACTTCATGGCCAATTAGGTAATAAATATATCGTCTCAGATATAGTAATACAAATTATGCTAAACTGCCCAATATGCACCGCACTAGTCTTTGAAAATATCGACTCTGCGATACGTTACGCACACTGCAGACGGTTTTCACGGTTACGTCGAACACTTAACCGCGCGTATGCTCTGCGCTGCTGGCTTTACCACTTACCCTACACTTGTGATTAATTTCTTGGTGGTAAAATTGTTGTTCACTTTTATTTCGAAAACAGCTATAATTTTGGAGTTTGTACTATACACTATTCACAGTCTTATTGTTTAGATACCACACAAATAGAATATTAAAAGATTTTTAAGATTCGTTTAACTTAACACTGATTATTGATATAAAAATACGGAGCGATTTTTAAAACAGAGTAACTTGTTCGACCGAGATGTCAAGAATGAATGGCCCCAACCATTACATAAGATTTGATAGACCACAAATCCTCGCGAAAGAACATCGATTCCTACCAAGGATGATGACCTACGTGAGGCTATTGAAATTAAAAAACATCCTATTTTCAATAGAGAAGGAGGCTGGGTACTACCACCTGCTTGGGATCCTATAATTAATAAAATTAAAACTAAACCCAAGCATACCACTGCAAGACTTCAAAACACAGTTAGTTCATTCTGCGTAGATCGGACCAAAGTCAATAATTAAAAAGCTGAAGGTACTCCGGGTTAACTTAAACATCGGGACGTCAGTCACCTCAGTCCCCCGTGACCATGGGTGCCGGAAAGCACCCGAAACGTCGGGTATTAAAAAATAAATAAAACGCGATAAAATCCGTAAAAAAAGTTTTAATCAAGGTAAAATTAATGAAGTTAATGGTATTTGATTATCCTAAATTTAAATAGCGCCACATTAATAGGTCCTATCAAGGTGAAACTGGGCGGGTTTCTAGTTAAGAATAATTTACAAATGTTACGAAATAATATATATGTGAAATTTGTGCAATATTATTTTATATTGTTTAATAGTTGTTTTGTGTGACAGTATCTATTTTCTCTTTAACCCGTTACCTAATGTACACAGTAATATATTATGATATAAGGTGTTATAAATTAACATTATAATATGTGACTTTTATAAATACCTTAGTTCTGTTGTTTGTACGTCTAAATGAATCAAATAAAAAATAGGCTCTGCATTCCTTCATTACATAAAATAATTATAGTTTTTTATTTTTTTATTCACCAGGAATCAGCTCAGGAGCAGCAGCAGGAGTCAGCTGCCGCTTCATAAGGCAGTCATAAGTTGATGAAGTGTACTTTTAAATTTTGCTACTGAACATAAGTGTTCCGTTTAGGGGAGATATTAAATATGGCTGCCACGTTTGACATGCGGATAGTCAATAGTCAATTGTCAACATGATCAAATACTCGATGATGATATGGATAAAATGATAATTAAATTATAAGACGATATTGACTTATCAAGCTGCACTGAAAGTGAAAATAATTCAAGTGAGTTTATCTATAGTGGTTTTTAATAACATTTTACTTATTCGTGTGGTGAGAAACTAGAAAGGGAATCTTTTTACTGGTAGCGCAAATTTATTCTTATTTTCCGAAGGTGACAATACCTAATTTAAAATGAAATAGGAGATATTTCACCCGATTGAGAATGACATAGCAAATATTTCTAATAAAAAAAAATAAAGTAAAATAAAGTGCTTGTTTGCCAGTCAAGATTTTATAAAAAGAACATAAATTTGTTGTAAAGCTATGAAAACAAAGTTAGCAAAATATGACTTACATAACTTTAGTTTTGGACGCCTTTCATAAATTTTGTTTTTTCGGCCAGGTTCAAGATAACGCAAGCGAGAATTATAAATTGCTTCTGGGAGTCTTCATTTGCATGTAATACTGTATGTTTATTGTCGCTTAGTGGCGATGCAAGAATACCCCATACCATCCCGTGGGTGTCGTACGAGGCAACATCATGATACAAATCAGGAGATGGGCAGCAGCGTCCTCCTGAAAACCAATAAAAACAAAAAAAAATTTTATTTGCCAAGCGTGGCAACTATGGCACAATTACAACGTATTCTGTCGTATTTGCAGAATACATGCTAAAAGTTAATACATACAAATTATATACATAACCAGGTTTTGTAATGTATTTCTTTGGCACTAAGCCTATATATATTGTTACGGCCTCTAGTTACCCGGGCAAGGTCGTGGGACCCGGGCCCATCAGGGGTTCCACTCGACGAGTAACAGGAGGTCGGCCTAAATGGCTTGTGGAATATTACACGTTAGCGGTAAAAAAGGGAACCAAACAAAACTTACCTATTTCTTCGAAGTAGGGTCAACCCTAGGAAGATTCAGGTGTAAGTGTGTGCGTGCTGTATTGTGTTGTGTTGTGTTATATTATGTAACCTGACTTCCCGCTGGTTGCAGAACCGCCGATCCCAAGGCTTCACCTCTATTCTTTATATCGAAGTGGCAGTCCGTCACAAAAATTTAAGAGTCTCGGAAATTATACTCGTTTCTCACTTGTTAATTGGAGTCAAGTCAATTATCATTAGGTTAATCCAATAAATTCCAACAAGATTTAACCGAACGCGCGTTACAACAAACTCGACATTTGTGAAAAATGCAATATCACCGGGCCGCGTTGCAAACAACTCAGGTTCGCGAAGTATAGGCGTCAGAGGCAGCGGGCGACTAAGCTATTAACACGACGCGCAACTACTCAGTTCCAAGCTCTGCGGCAAGTGGCCCCAAAACGCCGACGCCGGCGCGGCCGGACGCCGCACCAGCCCGCACCCCCCGCGCCTCAGCCGTCAGGCTCGCCTCCCGCTCGACCCGAGCGCCGACGCAGGCCGCCAAACGTTAAATTAGGCCTAAACAAGCCCCGTCCCGGACATGAGGATCTAGGTCCGCGAGTAAATTGGCAAGCGGGATAGGGTAGAGACGGCACGTTGCAAAACCGAATCTCCAACCAAAACCTCGGCCACCCTAGGGATCCCATCCGGTCCATACGACAACTTGACAATGCGCCCACGGCGTCAATACAAGGGCGAGGCGTTAGGTTCTTTAACTAACACGAGGTCTCCAACCCGAGGGGGGTCCGTCTTGTCAGACCACTTAACGCGCTGCTGCAAAAGATGTAGGTACTCCAGAGACCATCGGTGCCAAAAACTCTGAGTTATTTGTTGCAGCATGTCAAATCTGCTCAACCGCGAAGAGATTATTTCCCGGAAGGGGTACTCGGGCAGGGCGTTAAGCGGCTGGCCTATCAGGAAGTGGCCAGGGGTTAGAACCTCTAAATCATTCGGATCGGACGAGAGAGGACAGAGGGGCCGAGAGTTGAGGACTGCTTCAATTTTACAGAATACAGTGGCAAGCTCTTCAAATGTCAAAATAGTTTCGCCAATAACGCGACGGAGATGCGTCTTTGCAACCTTCACCACCGCCTCAAAAATACCGCCCCAGTGTGGGCAAGCCGGAGGGTCGAATTTCCACTGGATGCCCTTCTTGGACATCGCAGTAGTTAAATAGGTCCTGTTGCTAGACAGAAATTCAACGACCTCCTTCAAATACCTATCAGTACCCTTATAATTCGTTCCGCAATCCGACCGGATCAGGTCCGGTAAACCGCGACGCGATACGAAGCGACCCAGTGTGGACAAAAAAAGCCTCCGTGCTAAGGGCACTTACAAGTTCTATATATATATTTATATATATATATATATATATATATATATATATATATATATATATATATATATATATATATATGTCATTTCTGTTCATAAATATAGAAATTGTGATTGACTACAGTGCCACCTATTTTTCATTTCCAACATTTTCCAACTAAGTCCCAGAAAATATGCAGGACCTATCTATCAAAAAGTTTTATATTTTTATAAGCACGTACGTTTTACTAGGAGTTTTCTTCCGCGTACGACCTCTCTGTGGAATAGTTTATCACCGGCCATTTTCCCGGACCGATACGACTTAGGGACCTTCAGGAAAAAACCTTTCTGAAGGGCCGGCGATGCACCTGCAATTACCCTGTTACCCTGGTGTTGCGATTGTTCATGGGCTGCGGTAGTCACTTACCTAGGCTGCATTAAAAGTATCGGGAATGGAATATTTCCACTGTTCCCGTCATATTAAAATATTTTTAATTGAAAACTCCTCGGTTTTAAAAATCGAATACCTCGTCTTGTCACAAGGTTTTGTCAAACTTGTTTAGTCGTTGAGAAAATGGAATGGACTCGAGAAAATTCAAGAGCGATGATTTATTATGATTTCGAAGTGGTTTAACACAAAAACAGTGTATTGACCGGATGATTTCTGCATTTGGTGATGAAGCCCCATCCAAAACCACAATTTATCGCTGGTTTGCTGAATTTCAAAGTGGACGTGTCAAGCTCAGTGATGATCCCCGTCATGGTCGTCCAAAAACTGCAGTCACCCAAGAAAACGTTGATATTGTGCGTAAGCTTATTGAGGAAGATCGACATGTGACATACCGCGAAATTCAGGCAAGTTTGGATATTGGCATGAGTCAAATACAAGTAATCTTGCATGAACAATTAGGTGTAAAAAAGTTGTTTTCCCGATGGATACCGCATTCGCTTTGTGAAGAGCAAAAAGTGGCTCGCGTTACTTGGTGCGTCAGAACGCTTGAAAGATTCCACGCAGAATCCTCAAATGCTGTATACAACATCGTATCAGGTGACGAATCCTGGATATACGCGTACGAATCCGAAATAAAAAACCAGTCACGAGTTTGGGTGTTCGAAAATGAGTTAAAGCCAACAAAAATTGTTCGTTCACGGAGTGTTAAAAAAATGGTGGCCACGTTTGTCTCCAAAACCGGCCATGTTACGACTATTCCTCTTGAGGGACAAGGAACGGTTAATGCAGAATGGTATGCTAGCATTTGTTTGCCACAGGTCGTTTCTGAACTCCGTAAAGAGAACTGCAACCGCCGCATCATCCTCCATCACGACAAT